ATACCTTCCCACATTCAGGTTTGCACACACACCAGTGTTAATGGCCACGTGGGCTCCCCTAGGATTGCTCCCTGCAACAGCAGAGAAAGTCTGGGGTGAAGCATGAGATGAAAAGCATCTTTAGAACTAATTTTTTATTTGTTTTTATGAATAATCTCAGATTACACACAGCTGAAGTAAATAGCAAAGAACTAGAAGGTTGGTAGGGGAAGAAAAATCCAGAATGATGTGTGGAGTGTAAGAGAAGGGAATATAAAAACAGAAACAAAAACAAAACAAAACAAAACAAAACAAAAAACAGGAAAAGGGGACCCCTGGCTGGCTCAGTCAGTGGAGCATCTGACTCTTGATCTTGGTGTTTTGAGTTTGAGTCCCATTCTGAGTGTACAGAGATTACTTAAAAATAAAATCTTAAAAAAAAAACCTCAGCAGTGTTGGGGAGGGGGCTAAGGAGTGCCTATTACCTTGAAAAGAATAAAAATTATAATGACAGCTGAATTCCCAATAAAAAGATCGGGCCACAGAGAAAGTATGGAATGATGTCTTCAAAGTACAAAGGAGAAAGTACCAATCCAGAATTCTATACCCAGTAAAAATATCCTTAAAAATAAAAATGAAATGGACCATTTTGAGGCAAAAATTTGAGAGAATTTATCACCAGCTGCCCTACATTAAGGAAAAAAGAAAAAACATAATGCAGATGGAAGCAGAGATGCAGAAAGGACCAAAGACACAAAGAGAAGAATAAATATCGAGGGAAATTTAAATTAATGTTGGCTGTATAAAACAGCAAGGATAGCATCATATAAGATTTAAAATGCATACTGTGGGGCGCCTGGTGGCTCAGTCATTAAGCGTCTGCCTTCGGCTCTGGTCATGGTCCCAGGGTCCTGGGATCGAGCCCCACATCGGGCTCCCTGCTCAACGGGAAGCCTGCTTCTCCCTCTCCCTCTCCCACTCCCCCAGCTTGTGTTCCTTCTCTTGCTTTGTCTCTCTCTGTCAAATAAACAAAATCTTTAAAAAAAAAATGCATACTGTTACAAAACACATAACACCAGTAGGTCATAAATTGGGAGGAAGCAAGTGAATTTAAGTTCTAAGGCCTTTACATTATCTTTGATGTAATAAAACTATACTTTTATACTAGATGTTTATGTCAAGAATGTATTTTCAGGGTCACCTGGCTGGCTCAGTCAGTGGGGCATTTGACTCTTGATCTTGGGGTTGTGAGTTCGAGCCTTGAGTGTTGGTTGTAGAGACTACTTAAAAATAAAATCCTAAAAAAAAAGAATATATTTTGAGATCTCTAGGGTAACTGAAAAAAATTTTGTAAGGTTGAACAGTTTAGAGAGGGATTATAAAATATTCCAAGATTTGTCAAGAAAGTAGAAAAAGGAACACTGGACAATAAGGAGAAAATATAAATTAAATTGTAAGATGGCAGATTTAAATTCAATTATATCAGTAATTAAATATAAATGGATTGACTTCAATTCAAAGACAAAGTTTTTCAGATGGGATTTTAAAAATTCAGTTATTAAAAAAAATAAAAATAAAAATTCGGCTCTAGTGACCATAGAGATTATAGAAATGTGCCTTAAGTATAATGACACCAAAGAGTGGGAAGCAGAAGCCTTAAGATAAATTATAACACAAAAACACTAACTTAAAAAAAAACCCCAAACTAGTGTATTTGTACACCCGTTTTTTTCCTTAAGATTTTTTTTTTTAAGTTTTATTTATTCGAGAGAGAGAGAGAGGACAAGCAGGGGGAGAGACAGAGGGAAAGGGAGAAGCAGACTCCCTCCTGAGCTGGGAGCCCAACATGGGGCTCATTCCAGGACCTGGAGGTCATGACCAGAGCCGAAGGCAGACGCTTAACCATCTGAGCCCCGAGGCGCCACTCTTAAGATTTTTTTTTAGTGCCTTCGGCTCAGGTCATGATCCCAGGGTCCTGGGATCGAGCCCCGCATCGGGCTCCTGGCTCAGTGGGGAGCCTGCTTCTCCCTCTCCCTCTGCCTCTCTCCCTGCTCATGCTCTCTCTCTCTCTCTCTCTCTCTGTATCTCTGTGTCTCAAATGAATAAATAAAATCTTAAAAAAAAAAAAGATTTTTTTTTAAAGCGATCCCTATACCCAACCTGGGGCTCCAACTCAGAGCCTTGAGATCAAGAGTCCCATGCTCCACCGGCTGAGCCAGCCAGACGCCCCTGTATACCCATGGTCTATAGCAGCATAACTCACAATAACCAAAAGGTGGAAACAACCCACTTGTCCATAAATGGATGAAGGGATAAACCAATGTGATGGATCCCTATGATGGAATATTATTCACCCATGAAAAAGAAACAAACCATGGACACATGCCACAACATGGATGAATCTTGAAAACATTATGTTAAATAAAAAAGCCAGACACAAAAGGACAAGTATTATACGATTCCAATTCTATGAGGGACTTAGAATTGGATTAGGGGTTATTAGGTTATTAGAGGCTGAAGGGAAAAGGAAATGGGGGGCATGCACCAAAATTGCGCTAAGTTGGGGCACCTGGGTGGCTCAGTCGGTTAAGCGTCTGCCTTCGGCTCAGGTCATGATCCCAGGATCCTGGGATCGAGCCCCACATGGGGCTCTCTGCTCGGCGGGAAGCCTGCTTCTCCCTCTCCCACTTCCCCTGCTTGTGTTCCCTCCCTCTCTGTGTCTCTCTCTGTCAAATAAATAAAATCTTTAAAAATAAATAAATAAATAAAATAAAAAATAAAAAATAAAATTGCACTAAGTGACTGAAGTCAGCCTTCTGTGACCCTCTCAAGTGACCTCAAGGAAGAATCAAAACCAGAAAAAAACAAAAAACCAGTTAAGGAGAGGCATGCAAGCAATATTTTTAAACGATCAGATATGATTAAAAAAAACGTAATGTATTGAGATGACCTGAGGGTCTTTTCTCGTGTCTCCATGGAAATTAGTAAACCTTAATTTTTACAAACGAAACAAATTATACCTTGTGATGCTCAAGTATTTAGAGAAATGCTTGCAAGCAGATACCCCTCTCCCTTCTCTCTATATAATCCCCTGCAGCTAACAAGCTTTGGAGCAGTTCTGCAGAGCAATCGGAAAGATTCTTTCCCAGGCTATGGTGAATAAAGGTCGGTTTTCTTGCAGTTGGCAGGATTTAGTGTTTAATGGATACAGAATTTTAGTTTGGAGAGATGAAAACGTTCTGGAGACAGACGGTGGGGATGGTTGCACAACAGTGTGAATGTGCTTAATGCCACTGAACTAGACCCTTAAAAAGTATGCAAGGTTTCATGTCTGTTATGTATATTTTATCACAACAAAAATTGATTGTAGTATAGGTGGGGGGTGGAGGGAGAGAGATGAAGACACAGAGTGCAGAGGATTTTTAGAGCAGTGAAAATACTCTGTTTGATTTTACAGTGATAGATACATGTCATTATACATTTGTCCAAATCCATAGGATATACACCACTGAGAGTGAACCCAAAGGTAAACTACGGACTTTGGCTGATTACTGTATGTAGGTTCGTCTCTGGTTTAAAAAAAAAAAAAGCATTCTGGTGAGTAATGTTGATAAGGAGGGAGACTATGCATGTTTGGGGCGGGGGAGATATGGGAAATCTCTATTCCGCCTCAGTTTTATTGTAAACCTAACACTGCTTTACAAATAATAATAATAAAGTTTTTTTAAATTTT